TGATTTATTTGCGACCTGGACAAACCTAAAAAACTAGACCTGACTTCAGTACTTCAGTTGACACCTAAGATACTGTCATTGACCCTGCAGGCTCAACTACCAACTAACATACTCTGTACCACAATCACCACTACTTTACAGACTACAGTAACTACACAAGCTGCATACCAATGCAAGGATTGGCACAGAGTCAGATAATATTATCTAATGCTACATAAGTGTGTGCTGCCATTATTCAAATAAGTGCTTTTCTTCTAAAAGAAAAATTATCTTCAAACATTTTGCTACTGAATATCACCATAGCTGTACACTGTATGTGATCAACTGGGTCAATGACTGGAATCAGAGGTCTTTGCTACTGTATGTAGTTTTCTCTGCAGATTAACAACAAACTCACTTTTCAACTAAATTTCAAGAGTTTATTACTCAAAATTCACATTATTTGCAAACACAAGAAAGACACCTGTCCAGTAAATTATTTTCTTGTGAGGCTTTGCACTGATCTTGGCAGCTACCTGTAAGGCTCAATTCTTTAGATAAGACTCAAATTTAAAAATTTGCAAAGTTATGTTTATCTCTATAGGAAAGAAACCAGCTAGGAACTAAATTATGATAACTTTCTTATTAGGCATATGCTAAGGTTCCATCCTTAACCTTAAAAATTGGAATCACATTGAGTAACTTACAGCAAATTAATTCTGAGAAGGATGCAGGATGTCCAGGTTTTCAATTTTCAGCTCTCGCAAATTGGGGCGTGCTTCATCACAGGCTAAGAAAAATTAATGTAAACTAGTTGTTAGAACTCTTAGAATTTAGCTAGCAAATACTTCACGGCCCGAAGGATAGCTTGCTAAATGATTACGTCTTATCTTAGTGTACAGTCAATTCTGCANAGTAACTGCACAAGCTGCATACCAATGCAAGGATTTAGCACTGAGTCAGATAATATTATCTAATGCTACATAAGTGTGTGTGCCACCATTATTCAAATAAGTGCTTTTCTTCTAAAAGAATATCACCATAGCTGTACACTGTATGTGATCAATGATTAGAATCAGAGTTCTTTGCAACTGTATATAGTTTTCTCTGCAGATTAACAAGAAACTCACTTTTCAACCAAATTTCAGGAGTTTATTTATCAAAGTTCACATTATTTGCAAACACAAGAAAGACACCTGTCCAGTAAATTATTTTCTTGTGAGGCTTTGCACTGATCGTGGCAGCTACCTGTAAGTCTCAATTCTTTATATAAGACTCAAATTTAAAGATTTGCAAAGTTATGTTTATCTTTATAGGAAAAAAAACCAGCTAGGAACTAAATTATGGTAACTTTCTTATTGGGCATAATTATGCTAAGGTTCGATCCTTAACCTTAAAAATTGGAACCACATTGAGTAACGTACAGCAAATTAATTCTGAGAAGGATGCCGAATGTCCAGTTTTTCAAATTTCTGCTCTTGCAAATTGGGGGTGTGCTTCATCACAGGCTAAGAAAAATTAATATAAACTAGTTGGTAGAACTCTTAGAATTCAGCTAGCAAATACTTCACAGCCCGAAGGATAGCTTGCTAAATGATTACGTCTTATCTTAGTGTACAGTCAATTCTGCAACAATCAACATCATGCTGCCATTCAACCTTACTGCGTACTGTAGCTTTCTTAAAATAACTATGAAATGTTTGTTTTTGATTAATATTTTAAAACTTGTGCAGGAAATAAATTTAATTTTCTTTGGGAGTCGGTAATTAAAAACTAATTTCCTTTTTGATCCATCTTTAACATTTTAACGTGCTTGGCAGCTTGATGGTGGTTGTTTAATTCATAAACAAGGGGAAATTNCCTAGAAATGGACCTTGATCAATCATAGGCGTTGTGGACCATTTTACCACCGTTTTTGCACCAAAACTGATAACCTTGTTTTTCGATTTGCGACGTCGGGATGTGGTCGATATCTAAACCTGACCATTGTGCGGAAAGGGCTAGCCTAGCACTACTATCAGCTTATCAAGAATATCTGATGACATTTAAATTGATGACGTGGTACAAAGAGCACAACCATTAATTACGCATATATGCGTAGTTGGTATTCAAAGGGTTAATGGCTAAAAACGACTTAGCGAATCAACCTAGTCCAATACTGAAAAGGATCGGAACGGCAATAAAACGTTCTGTTTTTGGCTGATTTGAGTTATTGGCTCTCTCAGTCGTACAATAAAGGCTATAGAAGCAAGGGTTCAACGAGTGTTACTAGCAGTAATTATCAACAGAGCATGCGCACTCCAATGGCTAAGACAAACGATAAATTAACGAATCATTGAGTGCATGCGTATTGACCATCCACACCATGAAGGTTAGCCTGTATACAGTACACGAGTTTTTGAATAGCCTTTTGAAATTCAAAATTTCTTGCTTTGCTACTTGCTGTAAATAACTAGCCACCTTTCTTTCGCAATATTTTTCCTTTCCGATTCTATATTTTTTGAAAATTCCTTCCTTTAAATCTCTTCTGAGTTTTCAGCTTTTCCTTTCATAGCTCTGTTTTCTAAACGTACATGTGTTACTGTTGTCTAAGCACAAGATGTGTAGGGAGTAAAACTTTACAACCGTAGAAAAAGCTTATTTGTCTTGATATTGCCTATACTGTAAATATACACTGTTTAGCTGAGTATCAATTGTTTCAGTGCCGTGAGAAGGGAAGGTAAATGAATAGTAGTGGTCTCTGCCATTGCACCGCATTGTACCTTCTCGACTTTCGCTCACTGTTTCGTTATTACTTATTAAATGATTCTTTTTGAGTTATAAAGGAAAAGTTGGGAAAGTTTTTGGAAATCAAAAGTTATATAGGCACTCCTTTTCTAACTCCAATCTTGGTAGGAAAAAATTCTTTTGTCATTTAAAAAGTTCTAGTCGACGAGTTGGTCACTTATTAAAAAAATAAAGTGTATTTTGAAGTCTTCAAAATTCATTTTTCTCTGCAAAACCGAAGAATTCTTGGAATAAGTTTTAGATTTCCCATGGGAGGACAAACAATCAAATCATCGAACTGAAACAATTTTGCATTCAGTGCGTGGTCACAACTAAACTTGTGAGAGTTTAAAATGCAAAGGCGACTGACACTCCTCTGGGGCTAAGTACAGTGCGCTTAGCTCATCGGGCGTGACGCGAAAGAAAAACGCGAGAAAAAAAATGCCCGCGCAAAATCCTGGGGGCAGCTAAGTTTTCCTCGAGGTCTCGCTCGGCGGACCAAACGAAAGAGGGACTACTCGTAGTCTATATCTCCTGAAGACAAGGGTATTTTTAGCGAATTAGGACCATGTGAAAAAAAAAATCTAAGCAAGGGCTGTTGGAAACACAAAACAAAATTGGAGGTAGCCACGAATTTTTTCACAGATAATTGACATAATTGGCCTGAAATCTCGAACAAAAATGCTGATGTCAGCAGTTTTTCTTGAAAGAACAAGAAGTGAATGTAACCAGAAATTAATTAGCTGCTGAATAACCAGAAACTGCAAGGGACCGCATACGATAAACGCTGCCAACGTAGGATCTTCAAGAGATCTGATCAGCCAAAAAAATGTATGAGGACAAAAATTAGACTGCAAGGCTGATACTAAGTGAAAAACGTTTCGAGACACCAACATGACCAGAACCGATAAAGTAGGATCGCAACAGTGGACAGCTGAATAGGCTGGTCACTTTCACTCCCATACGATAAAAATAAGGGGTAACCTCGCGTTTTTAAAAGTTTTTAAAACTGAAGAGCCACCAAAGTTTTTATCCTCATCAGGCATAAGAGAAGGTGATATCTGTTAACAACTTTTCAGCTCAGTAGCTCGCTTCGTCTGAAAACAAGTACGTTTTTAATTTCAGAGTTATGGCGGTGCGTGACATAAAGCTATGAACGCGGTCAAGAGAAAATCAGGGCCGCGATACATGAATAACGTGATCCCGCGAAACGTTCCCGCGTAAAACCGTCTTCCGTGAGAACTTTTCGTGACGCAAGGAAAAAACAAACAAACTGGTAACGAAAGAGAATCCAACATGGCGGCGGGAGTTTGCAGTTTTAAGGAGGATTATAAACTTATTTTGGTGCCAAAGGTACAATGAATACGTCATCTATGGCATGATTTACCTTATTAAACATATTTGTGCTCGTCTGGTTGGGATTTGTGTGCAAAAAAGTGGTTTTGGTGGCTGCAGAACAGTGAAATGAAGAGTGCTTGTTCGACCCCTCACACGGTACCGCTCAGTGACTAACAAAAGCAAAACTCCTAAAGGTAAGCTTAGGCCCAAAAGCTGCTGTTTTCCAAAATTGGTGTTTCTTCTAGTGTTTTGTTCTTGTTATTGTTTAAGTTATCTTTTAATTTCGTGGAGTAGTTTGTGTTGCGCTTTTATTAATTTATACAGCGGGAAATTCAAGTTCTTATCTCTCGCACGTGCCCGCCGTTGTTTTGAGCAACAAGGTTCCGAGACTGATGTTTGTCAGGGATTTTAGCTTATAAAACGAAGTTACAACGCCACAGAAATCCTCTTAGACAATAGTAAAGGTGCTAAAAATGCTAAAAGAATAAAAGGTACTAAAATTATTAAAAAACACAAACGGGCTCCATCTAATTTGCATATTTATTATATAGACACGAGTATTTACTGTAAAATACACCTCTCCTAAATTCATACGGAACCACATCTGGGACTCGGGTGGTGCATTTTCCATATCCTCATTAGTGAAGATATTGATGATTTCGCTGACATCAAGTTTGTCTCAAGAAGTTGTACTTAAATTTGTTGGTGTATAAGTGAAATATCTTCCGGTCTTCCTTGAAAGTCTTTGGCAATCTTCAGAAATCTTCGGTAATCTTCAGAAATTTTTCGAAAAATGTTCAGTAATGTTCATGTGACCTCCGGACAAGTTTTGGAGAATTTTCGTAAATCTTTGGAAAGTGGTCGGAAATCTTCGGAAAATCATCAAAAACGTCGGCATCAGTATGTCTATATTATAAAAAAAATATTACACGTTAGCTCAAAGATATGAATTTTATGTTCTCGTGGCAAGAAAAATATCTCACTTGTTTGCTGCGCTCACTCGTGAGATATTGTTCTGCCACAAGAACATAAAATTGGTATCTTCTCGCCACCGATCAATTTCTCTCGCTATCAATTTCTGTGTGAACAAACAGACGTTTTTAAACTTTTAATTATGTCTTATACTGGTTGTTCACCCATTTTTAAACAAGCTCTATTGTTAATAGCTTTTCCTCATAACCAGAAACTAATCACATGTTGAATAGGCTTTCCACTTCCATTTCATGACATAAAATGTAGGGGTAAACACTCGTTTTTAAAAGTTATTCATCCTTTTTTGAAAACTTTTACAGTGTCTGTTACATTTTTTCCTGTCACCTCCCCAATAAGTAAAACATTTGCATCTCTTGCACTTGTTTTGCACGTGCACCACGCTATCTGCAGGTACATGTTTACAGCTGGATTCCAGTATAATTTTTCTGCAGATAACAGCTAGTTTTTCAGGAGGAAGCTGTTAACAGTTAGAAGTTAGTGATACACTGGTATAGATAGTTTTCATTGGCATGCAACAAAAAATTAAATCAAAAACTATTCCGTGGATCAAGTCAAGAAATTGTAATGTGATAGGAGATAGGAAAAGAAGACACTTCTCCTCGTTTGAGGTCTCTGCATTCTCCCAAACTTCAGATATTTGTCAAAATGTTTTGTGTAAATTTAAAGAGCCCAGTATGGAGCTGCCATGTTGGTGGAGCTCTGTGTTCCACCAACATGGTGGCCGGAAAAGAGTGTAAACATCTGGAACTTACTTTGGCTATCTAGGCGACTGATTATATGAACTGAACCAACAAACATTTACACAAGCACTTTTCCTAACACGTTAACTCCTAAAAAGGCTAAACATCACTACATATAGAGGATATTACACGGTGGCGAGAAGATATGAATTTTATGTTAAAGTGGCAAGAACTATATCTCATGAGTGAGCGCAGTGAATGAGTGAGAGATTGTTTTTGCCATGAGAACATAAAATTCATATCTTTGAGCTAACGTGTAATGTTCTTTTTATTATTTAACAATTAGACCCATAGACCACAAGGGCTATTGACCCGTGGCCCTTGAGGGCGAAGAGTCTAATTGTTTTAGTATCACCCAACTAGTTGGACAGAAAAGGCAATAATAAAGTTAGCAAATGCAAGATGAAGAAGTATTTATTTGGGAATAAAACAAACAAAAGGGTCATGCTCGATTGCACCAATTTTGCTACTCCAGGACTATTACTAATAGTCCTCTAGTAGTGTAGCCAATAAAAATGCAGGATTTGCATTAGTCCACTAGTTGGGTGATACTAAATACTATTAGACATGCTGATGACGCCATTTTTGACGATTTTCTGAAGATTTCCGACCACTTTCCGAAGATTTCTGAAGATTTTCCAAAATTGTTCCAAAGGCCAGGCGAATGTTTCCAAGCATTTTTCGGGACATTTCCGAACACTTTCCGAAGATTACCGAAGATTGCTAAAGATTGCTGAAGACGACCGAGGAAGATCCGAATACATAATAAAAGGGTATATTTTTCCACAAATGCAATCAGAGCTTTATGTCACACACTGATGAACATGGTCTTATCATTTTTGTGACACAATATGTTACCATAACAACAGTATGACCTGCTAAAAACAACCTTAATTTTTGTTTTAACTACTTTTGACCTAAACATGACCTCAGAGGCCTCCATTATTTATTATCAATTTTGATTAGCACGATAAGACATCAAGGCAATGGGTTTAGAAAGATTCTGTACATGGGGTTTTCAAAACACTTCCAGTTCAACCAATGGTCTCATTTCTTTGCATCAGAAAGTGCTGGGAAATCTTACTTCCAGGAATTAGACAATTGATGGTGCTTGTCTTTCTCATATACACCTTTCTTATCGGGCACCACTGCCATCTTGGAAAGTTTGTAACAGATGGCAGAATATGTTGCAATGACTGTTGCAGTCTTATGTCATGTTGTGTGTGGTAGAGATGCACAGTTTTTCTCATATTTTTTCATATATTTTTTTTTGTCAGACCAAGGACAGACTGGATAAATAAGACAAGAGGCAACAAAAAAATATAGAAGAAAGGAGGGAGCTTTCGAATTGTTGATGGACTGAACGTCTAAATGCAACATTTCTAACGACCAGATATCAAAGCAGAGTCACCTTGACTGACCAGGTAAATATATTGTTTTCCATATGCTTTAGGGGGGCACAGTTGCCACATGTTTAGTGCACTATAAGATCCCGGATTAAGTGGTCCAGGTTATAGCCCTGACTGGGAACATAGAGTTGTGTTCTTGAGCAAGACATTTTTCTCTCGCAGTGCTTCTCTCCACCCAGGTGTACATTATGTATAAATTAGTCCTGGCAAATTTAATTATGGGGGTTAACCCTGTGATGGGCTAGGGTGGAGAAGAAATTCTCCTAGTCTCTTCATGCTACAGAAACCCAAGGTACAGATGTACATACAAGTGCTGGCCTGATGGGTCACTTGACTTGTGTGCACACTTTACCATATGTTTACATTTGACGTTGCCATTTGATAGCCCTTCTATTGGACATAAACTATTTTAAGATGGCTCAATCGGATTTTTGAGAAACTGTTTAAGGTGGCTCAAAACAGCTTTCTGTTTTCTTAAGACTTATAGAACTAGGTGCAATTTTTAGGCTTGGAACTGTACTGTTTTAAATGGCTGTGCTATTTTTTTTCAGGTAACTCTCATAAATTAAGGTTGCACTGTTCTGTTGCATAGGAACAAACTTGACCCACTTTTTACCATCAATTGCATCTATCTAAAAAATTAAGCTGGTGACGCCATATTTTTTCTTAAAATCTTTTTATTATGCACAGAAGAAGAAACAGGAAACATTATAGAAAATTCTGTTGAGTAGATTTTTCATTAATGAAAAAAAAAAAAAGTTGGAGGAATTTACACTCCACGATTTTTTGACATTTTTGCACATGCATTCTGCTTTTGCTGTAAGCTGAATAATTTGTTGCATTAAAAAAGTAGGATCACTGGGTCAGTTTTTGAGATATTAGCTTCATACCACATTCCTGCTGCATGCTCGACTGGTCTTGTTACATTATCTAACAGAAATGGGACACCTATTCAAACGTCTAATTTCTACTGTATTGAATCTAATACATACATGTACATTATGTTAAAGTATTAAGCATGCGTAAATTTGGTCCTCCCCAAGAAAAAGAGGAAACTTGGCCATTCGCGACCCAATGCAGCCTGAACATATTGCAACACATACTGCTGTATTGTCAGCCTTCTCCTTCTTGTTCCATTAGTGGATAATTTTTTGCATAGTCTAGTCCTTCGTTGTTCAGTATCTTTGTCTGCCATATTGAAAACTCTACATTTAGAACATTTTCTGCTGACCGACATACCTGGCCGTATTAATTCTGAATTAAGTTTGACTCAAGTGCGATGTCTGAATCAACAATCGAATTTCTGCCACACTTGATTGAATTGAATTAGACAGGGCAGAAATAAGACGTATGAACCAGGCCTTACATTACTTGCAGTTAACAAGAAAAAAATTAAGTGCAAACCATTTAAGTTAAGAAGAGTCCACTAGGTGCTGCTACCTCTAGGGGCTTTAAATTCACAAAAAAATTGCATACATTGTGTGCCTATGTTTTCAAATGAGTTTGCTGAGTTTACACATAAAAATGACATCAAATACACTCTAACTCCTCCTTACCACCCACAATCAAATGGTGCAGCTGAAAGAGCGGTCAGAATAGTAAAGGAGGGGGGCTTAATTGCAAACAGGTTCTGGAGGGAAACAATAGTACAGTAGGTCTATCAAACACAGACTAGCAGGTTTTCTTTTAAGATATTGTACCACCCTGAGTGTAACTAATGTGCAAGCCTGCAAGCTGGAGCTGCGAGCTGCAAGCCTATTTTTGCAAGCCACTGCATTTTTGTTTAATTGTTTTTTTTTTAGTTTTTAAATTAACGTTAATGTTTCACTCAGTAAATGCTACACTTGGCAGAAGAAACAAAAGAGTTGGCTTTTCTTTCATGCGTGAAATTCCACGCAAGTAGTTTTCTGTCTGTATCAAAACGGATTTTGAAGGTCTGTTTATAGTAAGTGTGTTTCAGATATATATGAATGAAATTTTGAGTTTCCCCAGCCTGCAAATTTTTGTATCAAAATGTTGATTATGTAAAATTGACTAATATCCAAATATAAACAGGGAAACGTTCAAGTGAGGCGAATTTTAGGTTATTATATATCAAGAAGCACTGCCACGAAAGATGCATAATTTATTTTTTGGGGGGCTCACAGTTGTCCGTTGTTTTGTCTCTTGGGAAACCAGGCTCTTAATTGTTTTTTTTCTTAATAGTTCCCCCATAAAATCGAAGGACTGGACGACTGCTTATTTCAAGCAATTCAAAAGTTTGGGGATAAAGCCCATTTGCTCGGCCCAGCGAAAGTTGACCAGTGCAATTTACTGTGCTGAAAAAATCACAATTCCTTGCAAACTAATTAAAGATTAAGCAGAAGTTTCCTCTGTACTAAACTTGTGGGGTACACCTTAACTCGCATACTCAACTCACTTGTACTAGACAAATCCTTGTTTAATTCTCTTCCAGTGTTATGATGCGTCCTATTTTCAGGCTGTGTTCTCTCGATAAAAACCTATTTCACAATCACTTGTGTCTCTGATTACAATGTTTACGAATCTTGTGATCCTAACTGTCAACTTATGAAATGTCACGCTGTCATGACACTTCCATTTACCTCGCTTGCAGCTACCAAAAAGCAAGATGGGAAAACGTCCCTCCTATATAATATCTGCTTAATTGGTAGAATTAAAAAAAAAAGAGACAAAAAACTTTCCATTACCTCATTTGCCATGCTACAGTGCACCTACACATGAAGACTGTGGGTGTTTGCCATTATGCCAAAGATTCCTGAAATTTTGGTAGGAAATCAAATGGTAAGGTCCATTTCGGTTTCTTCTAACTGGAATATTTGGGATCATCTCTGGAGGTGGTCCACTTATTTTGGTCGGACTGGTCCGACGGAAATTTGCCGTTCTGTGTTTGAAAAACCAGTTCACTGTCCTGCTTCTCTTCACTTATGTAGGGAATTTGGAAAAGGAATAAAAAATGTAATGAGTCCGATTCCTCTTGGCTGGCCCGGTTTGATCGGAAAATGCCATATATTGGCATAATGGAAGCACCCCGCATGTAATAAATACCATATTAGGACATTATACCTGTTTTTGGATTTTTTGGCGGGAATCTTTTGAGGCTCGCAAAAAGAGACTCGCGGCTCGCGGCTCGAGGCTCGGGCTCACAGGTTTGCAAATTAGCTTCCCCCTACCACCCCACACAGCACCACACAATTGAATTGTTGATGAGACTTTGCCTGTTTAAGTTTAGCGAAATCTGATCTAGCCCAAAAAATAGAGAGTAAACAGAATAAGCAGAAGGAGTATGAGGATTTAAAGAGTCATCAAGATAGGCTGTATTTAGAGAATGACATTTTTCAAATGAAAAATACTCAAGCCGGTAGCAATACTTAGAGATGTATAGTTAAGGTCTGTGGGTCCAGAACTTATTTGATTAAGAATGGCCATAAAACAAGATATGTTCATGCTGATCATTTGTTCAGAACTCATGATAAGGTGCCAAATGCAACTAGAGGGTTAGATACATGTATACGATGTATATCTTGGGTGTAGATGATAGCCAAGTTTCCACCAGGGTGCCACAGCCACTAGTCAATTTCTCAGATGAAGATAATGAGCCAAATTCTAGTGTTAATGAAGAGCATAACTTGTAAACACTCCATCGCCAGTTGTTTTGAAACAATCAGAGAGAATCAGGAAACCTGTTGTCCGTCTGAATCTGTAGCTAATGTAATAGCTAATATTGTGTTGCTTGTTGTAAGAATATCTCATTCCTAAGGGGGAAACAGTTTAATATGTTAAGTACCCTATAGTACATATTGTGTCAGTACTCAGAGTGCATTGCAATAATAAAGTTGTGTTGAAGCGGCCATGTTGTACGTGTTGACCTTGTGGTTTATTTAGAGCTGAATTAATTGGCAATGTATTACGGTACAATAATATTTTTTAAATTTTGCTGTCATTTAGACAACTATTCCAGCTCTTAGATCCCGACATCGTATTCCAAAGTATGGCATCATAACGTTGCTCATTGGTAACTCAGATCTTGGTAAAACATAGCTTGTTTGAAACTTAACTTCTCTAACACATCACTATCCAGTGTATAAATCTTGACAAAACAAACCATGCTGTCTGTTGGATAACATTATCCACCTTTTGAACAACCTGGGCCTGGTCAATGTTAATAGAGTGTTCTTGTTTCTAAAAATTTGTTAAATTAACTTCAGATCATCTGGATGGACGGTGGACAAACCTTGATAGACAGTGGAGAAATGATAAAGGACAGTGGAAAGCCCCAAATGTGCAGACCCTCAGGTAAACATACTTATTTTGTAACCTACTTCTATGTATCATTGAATTTAAAATGAATGAAACTCAAAGTAAAACACTTCAATACAATTCAAAACCATCTTGCCAAACAGTAATTGTAAGTTATTTTTGGGCCTTGAAAGAAAATACAAGCATGAAACGTACACACTGCTAAGATTATGCCCGCTCATATTCTGCAAAGGGGAAAAGACCAAGTTGACTACCAGGGGGGAGAACGGAAGGGGTGAGGACCTGTGTGACTACTGTGTAAGAGCTGTAAATTGCACCCGGCACTATCTGAGATTGTCTCATTAGTTTTTATTAACTCTTCTATAACACTAAAAGTAGTTGTTGCCAAGCGTGGAACACATGTTAATATGACTTAAAAGCATTCCAATAAGGCTTTCCATTCAACCAAGAAATCTTTGGTGCACAGTGAAATTTTAAGAATTCATGATTGAATCCAAAAACAGATTTAGCATTTCTGTACCAAACAGAGTAATCCAAGATCATTCGGATTATGGTGCATCAAAGAAACCATTTAGAATCCGTGACCCTAAGCAAGGATTCATCAGTACCTTTCTGAATTAACAAAATTCAATCAATTTTGGCTTAGTATACAGTAATGTTAGGAATTTTGCCATTATTTTTCGTAAAAATTCATTGCGCCTCGATGGAGAAAACAAAACAAACTCATATGTACTTGTATGGGATGTTTTTGGCAATGAGAGGCCAATTTTGCATCCAAGACCAGTTGTCCCATGAAATCTCAATTCATTAGGACTGCGTTCTCCTTTTTGTTGAAAGCAAAAACTGCGAATTTAATTTTGCACATTTGTTAGGCTCCATCCAATCCTTGTCATTACTCCTTATGACACCAATTTTAAAATTAAAAAGCACTAAAAAGTTCCCTTAAATAAGTTATAATCCTTAGTTATGTATAGTGTAGAAACCCCACTTAGGGCTAATCTAATTTTGGGGTACAGTCAAACTTTGATTATCCACTCATGGGGACTAGGGTAAATAGCACAATGATATTGTAATCAAGAGTCTGAACAATCAAAATTTACATTAATATTAATATACAGAACGGTTTTCATTTGAGTGACAAAAAGTAATTGGTTTTACACTCGCTACTCTACGCAATTGGCTTAAAATACTCGCACCAATTTTCCATCCAATCAGAAGTACCAGTAAAACCAATACCAATCGCAAATCATTTGCACACATTTTCCTGTGCTTGAGTGGGTCAGCCTCGTGTAATTACTTTGAGGTTTGATTGGTTCAGTGGATTGTCTGTGTTCTTTATGATTGGCTAGAGTGATTACTTTGGTTTTGGTTTTACGACACTCAATTGAAAACCATTCTAAGACAAAAGTAAAACAACGTTAATTTTAAAAGCAGTACATGTGTTAATAGCACGAAGATAACTTTGAGCTAATTGGATTATAATTCTGTAGTGTTTAATTGTGCAATAAAGTTTCAACTTCAACTTCAAATTCACTTTGTCACTTTTGATGCATGTGAGGGCTGTTTTTTAGTCTGCGAAACCTAAACAAATTGTAAAAATGTCTATCTTTCTTGGTGTCTAGAGCTTCAGATTGGATTCCACATTAATTTATCATTTTGGTTGTTTCATCACAGGATGCTAGATAGCTGAGGTCATAACAACACAGTATGGACTTTGGAGAGACTAGAAAAAAGCGAGACAAGACAACAAGATAGTTTAAGTAGATTGTCTACTCTATTTAGTCATATATTTTTTTGGCCCAGCCCGGGAGGCCTTTGAACATGGGGTACAGCTGGCCCGGGGTTTTCCTCCTAGGTGCAAGTGGACGTATGGGGAGGTTTTTCACCCAGCTGTTGTTCCACAACCCCCGTTCAGGTTACAGGTAGTTGGTTATTTCTTTAGCTAGATAGACTCTTGGCAAACTGCTTGCATTGGTTAGAAAAAGTCAACCTGATGAATTCTAAAACATGTACAGTGACCAGCTTATTAGAACAAACAACTCTTGACTGATGCTAATGACTACATGGCTTGTACTTGTCTTTCACCCAGCTACTGACTTTTTAATACTTCAACAAAGCAATAAACAGTTAACTGTGACTTCAAACAGAACCTACTGTACACAAACGTAACTAACAAATGATAGATTGAATCTGACAACAACAACTACTCACTACTTACTACTTACATGTACAGATCACTTATTCATGATCTCAATAAACCAGCCAACAAACTTTTACTTCAAATAACAGACCCAACACAAACTTGACTTGCAATAGATGGACTGAAACTGACATCTTATAAATAACTTATTTGTGACCTCACCAAACCAACAAACAAACATGAACTTAAAACAGAGCCAGAACAAACTTGACTAACAATAGATGGATCGACACTGACATCAATTGACACCAAGCTAAAGATCTACTATCTTATACCTTACAGCAGACTTATTCACGACCTCAACAAAGCTAAAAACGATTGATTGCCACATAGGGGGTACTCTGGGTTTCAAGTGACTGGGATGATTGAAGGATTTTTGTGTGTGGGAAATTTTCAATTCTGGGAGTTTTTTGGGTAGGAAAATTTGACAAGTGGTTTTTGGGTAGCTTGATTTAAGTAAGGATTTGTTCAGGGTATTCAAAACAATCTTTTTGGTTTTGATTTTACGCCCAATTTGATCATCCCTGTCACTTGAAATCCTGAGTGCCCCTTTGAGGAATATCAAAACTTCACAGACTGCAGAAATTAACTGCACAAGCATCATACCAGTGCAAGGATTAGCATTGAGTCACTAGAAAAATAATTTTGTTACATGTAGGTGTGTGTGTGTGTGCCACCATTGTTCAAACAAGTGCCTGTAAAAAAAACACCCATTCGCAAGCTGTACACTGCATGTGATTATTTGATTGGAGTCAGGGGTCTCTGTTACTGTATGTAGTTTTCACTGCAGTAGCAAAATAAATTAATTTTGATTAAAAACAATGTTGTTTGTTTCGTAATGAGGTCCCTTAGGATGTAGACTGTGATGTTTTCACTACTTACTACTAGTCTTCATAGTCTTCATCTGGCAATGAAGGGTTGCAGAAAGTAGTCAAACACAATGATCTGCATCCTATAGTGACTACATCATGAGACAATAACTCACTTTACAATGAACAGCCACCATCTCTTTCACGGCAAATTTTACTTTTTTGGATGCATGTTCTTGAGAGAACTACATGCTGCAGTAGAGATCTATGACTCCGATCAGTGGACCAGTTAATCATGAAACCCATTCCACTTGGCTGATTTGAATCCATTGAACAGTAAATATTACTCTTACACTTGTTTGTTTCTTTTGAGTTAGGTTTGAAGGTCCCGGCATAAGAGTCCTTTGAGCAGTGTTTTTTTAGCCTTTACTTAGATGTGTGATGTACAGTTGCTCCTAAACAAAGTCTCAACTATTAATTGTTTAGAAAATTTGACCGAAAGTTGTAAAAACAAATTCAAACTCAATCGTAAACAAACAAACAAATGAACAAACAGTAATAGCACATTCTCTTATCTTGTCTCCTTGCCTTTTTGATGGGCACAAATTGATCATTTTGAGAAACAAATGAAGACAAATTTTCCTTGTGATGCATGATCATTTGGTCAATTCTTGTGATGTGTCTGGTTCACTGTGTGAGGAGAAACTAGTTGCTGATCATTTTTGGGCCAAAAAGGTAAAATAAAAATTAACAACAACAAATCAAGTTCAACTAAACTTCAAGAGTTTATTTCTTCAATTCAAAATTCACATTATTTGCAAAGCACAAGAAATGTAACTAAAAATAGTCTCAAATTTAAAATTTGAAATTGATGTTTAACAAATTAGGGAAAACAAACAGGAAACCTGTTATGGTAGCTGCTTAGAGACTTTTTTATTGGGCATATACCAAGGTTTCATTCTTAGCCTAAATTGCAAGATTAGAGGGCTTCAGCACAGTATAGGACAACCAGCTTTTCAGTATTCTGCTTTTGCATTTTGGTTTGCTTCACCACAGGCTAATATAAATTACTTTTAAGTGACAAAACTCTTAGAATTTAGCTAGCACATTCTTCACTGCTCAAAGGGAAACTTGCTAAATGATTAATAGTTATTTTAGTGTATTTCTTTTTTATCAGTAAAATATTTAACTAATAAACTCTAACAACAATCAGCAACATGCTGCCACTCAACGTTATTACCTATCGTTGCTCTCAGAAAATCGTAAACTAATTATGTTTGTTTTTGATACAGTTTGTTAAAACTTGCTTTAGTTTAAGCCATTGACTCGCTGCTTTTAGTACAGACAGCCATGAGTAATTCAAAAATAATAATTATTTTTGAATAACTGACTTATTTACTTTTTCAAATGCTTTTTCTTTAAAATCTATTTTAAAATTTCTAAGTGTATGGCAGCGTGATGGTGGTTGTTTAATTCATAAACAAGGGAAGCATTCAATGTTATAATTTGAATAATCTCAAAATAGTCCGTCAAATATTTGTTGTTGAAATTTATATCATTCAGTTTAGATAAAAATTGTTTCATCTCCAAAATTTGGCCTGGGAAAAAAGATGTTGTTTTGCATTCCATGTTCAGTTGTCATCACCACTGGAAGTGGGCTACTACAAAATTTAGCACCTTACTAGTTTTTGCAGTGTTACCAATTTTCCTATTTTTTAACACTTTTAACAGTTATAGTAATGCTAATGCTTCCTTTGTCTATATTAGTTTACTTTGTACATTAAGTGTCAGGATCTGCAAGCTCATTAGCCCAAACTGAAATTACACAAGAAAAAATAGTACTTATTTTCAAGCACTGCAAAAGTTGCAACAACTAACTACATGTAGGTGCAATGATAGTCTTATTGTTGCCACTCCATCATAATTTATTTATCTCCTTTACCCACTTTATTAATTTCTTTCAAAACTAATTACCAAAATGTTCAAATATGACACTACTTGATTGCAGAAAAATGTTTGAGTGGTAATGTCATTGAAGAATTAGTCAAAATTAATTTTGGTTTAATGCTTAGGAATTGTTCTTTTTTTGGAATAGGGCTATTTTTGTTTTCTAAAGGCTTAGTTTCATTTCATTTTCAATTTTTCAATTTTTGATTCAGTTATTACTGTCTTATGATAATATTTGTAGAATTTAGACAACAGGTAGATCATTCAACAGTCTGCATTTTAATTTTAACTTGTCACTAGTTTCTCTTGTCCTGTTATTTTATTTTAATCTAGAAACAGCATCTTTTATTCTTTCACATAAGTATAATAAATAATCCGTTTTGCTTAGCCTGATAAAAATGATTAGTGACAGCATAAATTACTTTCATAATGCAGACTGTTGCTGATCAGTAGTTTATTTCAATTTGATTTTTATAGATTTCTTGGTTCTTTCTTGGTGTTGCAAGTCTTCATATTTTGACTGCTCCTTTAGGCCTCCTTTAAGTTTTTTTNACAGACAAGGAATCATTAGCTATTAAAACTACTAGTAGTTCATGGAAATAAAATTATTACATTTTTCATTTAATGACTTATTGTCCAAACGTAGATGTTAAGGAAGACAGCAAGTAAACCATTGCAAGTGATAAAAAGTACATCTTTCATGCTCTCTAAATCTCAGATTGGATTCCAAAATAACCTATCACTGTGCTTGTTTCATCACAGGATGTTGGACCAGACAGAAAGCATCACATGACAGCACAGACTCAGAGGCCAGGAAAAAGATGACGGCAGGCAGGAAAGAGGGTGCTTAAAGAGTCAAGCCACCTAGTAGACAAATTGACAAGATGGCTTATGGCATGATAAGTAGTTTATTTAATTAGAATAACTTGGCCCTGCCCGGGAGGCCTTTGAACATGGGGTACAGCTGGCCCGGGGTTTTCCTCCTAGGAGCAAGTGGATGTACTGGGAGGTTTTTCACCCAGCTGTTGTTCCACAACCCCTGTTCAGGTTAGCTGGTTATTTCTTTAGCTTGACATAGTCTTCAACTAGGTTCCTGTAGTAGATTCTTTGAAAATTTCTTGCATTGGTTTGAAGCAAGTAAAACTGAGTAAAAACCTTACATACAGTCACTGACTTATTAGAATAAACACCTCTTGCCAACAACAAGAGACTTTTTCATGACCTCAGCAAACCAATCAACAAACGTGCGCTTTAAACAGACCCAGCATAAACTTGACTAACAACAGATGGAGTGAAACTGAGAACATCTGACACCAACAACTACTACATGTATAACACCTTACAAAATAACTTATTCATGACCTTAACTAACCTACCAACAAACTTTAACTTCAAACAGAATCAACACAACTTGACTTACAATAGATGAAGTGACACTTCACATCATATAACACTGACAACTTTACACCTTACAGATGACTTATTTATGACCAACAAACCAACCAAGAAACTTTACCTTCAGACAGAACCAGCACCGACTTGGCTAACAACAGATGGATTGAAACTGACAACAGTTATCTGACATCAACAATCACTTATACCTTACAAATTTATGACTTATTCATGACCTAGGCAAACCAGCCAACAAACTTTACATTATTTTGTAACTTCAAACAGAACCAGCACAAACTGTAACAACATCTGAAACAAACAGCTACTTACACATAACAAATGACTTTTTCATGACCTTAACAAGCCAACCAACAAACT